GGTATGCTAACAACATGTTTCTTAGATACCATTTTATTGACCAACTTCTTGCAGCAAGTACAGTTTGAGCAGAATCATGTCAGCAGTGCGCACATCTTTTAAATGGCGCGTAATAAGTGTTTGATGACGTGTATTTGTGCTCATGTATAATCTAGTAGCCGCCCAATAATATGCACTGTAAGTTTAAGAAGGCAAAGGCGCTTATTGAGCCCGTTACCCTAGAAATACGCGCGAGCTATATTTTCCTTTGCATTCTTCTGCGCGAGTGATGTGTGCGCTCGCCTGCTTCCCGGAGCGTGCGCTTACGATGCTCGCGAAATCCTTTTTTGTTTCGATCACATGTTCACATAACACACATTCTGCGATTTGTTATCATCTCTGGGACGCGATTACGTTTTGTAGTATTTCCAACACCCACGATGCGACATTAGGTATTTACGACGGCGCAGCTGAGGCAACAACTGTGGAAGGAGCTAAAACGATCCGAGAGGCAGCGCGCGTGCGGAACACTCCACGCAGCAAACCATTGCTCGCGGTTGGCCGACAAGTGCCGTTCGTCGTTCGGCCATGTTCGGCAATGTTTCAAGTTCTGCAATACTCGCAAAAAAAAAAATTTTTTTTTACCATATTTTTTATTAGAGAAAAAGGTGGCTCATGATGGTAATTTTTGGATTTTCGGGATGCTTAGGGCCCGCAGAATTAGTTGTGACCATGTAAAGACGGTTTGCAGAACCGTCTTAGCGCCCCTTTAAAGTAAGAAATGAGGAATTAGAGATTAGTTAACTATACTATCTTCTTACTCAGATACAAGCTCGCTGCCATCAGCAGTAATACATTAACTCATCTCTGACATGGCATTACATAACGCGATGTATGGGTGGTTTTTAAAGATCCAGCATTCTCAGTAAAGAAAACTTGCGTTAGGAGACTTTAATGTTCCCATTAGTTTATTTCTCTTGAAGGCCTCTATGAACGAGGTTACTCGTGCAATTAGGCGGAAAATTAAGATATACAGTCGAATCTCATTAATTCAAAATTTCTTAATTAAAACTTGCTGATAATTCAAACTAGCATGCAGGTCCCATCCTGTGCGTCTTCATGAGAGGAAACTCCAGGTAATTCAAACTTTGCTTTATTCAAACAAATTTTCAGTACCCCTCGAGTTTGAATTAACGAGATTCGACCGTATTTCTAATTAGTCACGATATGCATATAGTTCTAATTAGAATGTTGCTTGGAATAATCGAAAACTACGAAGAGTGTAAATTCTAGAAAGATTGGATGCATGTGCGTCGCTTTCTGGGTTCTGTAAATATGTCAAAAAGCGGCACGCCAGCGCTTTTTTTAAGTTTGTTATCACCCCCTTTTTAGCTCCACTAGCGTTCCGCCCGTTCCAGAAGTAATCCCGTATGGAAATCTTATATCTGGGCCATATCTGGCCATATCAAACATTATATGATTATATACGGCCTATATACAGCCTTATCTGGCGTATATACAGACTTACCTGGCGTATATACAGCCTGATATGGCATATATACAGTCTTATCTGGCGTATATAAGACTTATCTGGCATATATACAGCCTGATATAGCTTACATACAGACTTATCTGGCGTATATACAGTCTTATCTGGCGGCCGGTTTTCAGTATACTAAAAAGTTAAAAGAAGTAAAAAAAAATTTTATTATCAAACTCTAAATGACTCACTGTTCGCGAGCTAAATATTATCACAAATAATCCCAAACTTGAGCTTTGACAAGTTTGAGATTATTTGTGCTAGTTTTCACGAGGATTTCAATGTAGCTTAATTATTTCAAAGTGTTAACATTACACCCGAATAGACAATTTGCTAAATCACCCAAGCGCCTGGGCCCGTACTCTAGGGATCATGGGGACGGTTTTTCTTCAGCTACCTAGTGATCGAAAATTTTGAGCAATTCTATGGTTACACAGATTTGAGTGTAATTCGGAGTCACCCTGAACACGTACCGTACAGAACCCAAATACCTGCCATACCACTTTAAAAATGTCCCGCCAATGTCAGTACTGTGCATTCCGGCCAACCTTCAACCTGGATGAGCGGCAGACATATCTTTTACATTATTATCATTCTCGTACAGCTTCCAAAACGCTGATATTAAGTTAGAAACGCTAAAAATGTCATAAACAGCTCCGCTGAATCCGAGCTAAATCCCTGTTTTGGTTGTTGTGATTTCTCGACTTTTAAGTAATTCCTGCTAAAACAACAATCACGAGAATTATAATATGGAGAGATTTCGGCTGCTCAGCGTGGTTGAAGGTTGGACAGAATGCACATTATCATAAACGCTGCCATTGACGAGAAATTTTAAAAGTGATATGACAGGTACTTGAGCCCTATGGGACGCTTGTTCAGGGTGACTACGAATTACACTCGAAACTGTGTAACCATGGAATTGGTCAAAACTAGCTAGCTATCACTAAAGGAGCTGAAGGATCACCGTTTCCATAACTCCTCGAGTGCAAGTCGGGCAGTTGGGAGAATGTAGACAATAAAAATATATAAAGTGCTGATTTCAGGCTTGTGTTTTTTTTAAATGCCTGGCCAGATCTGGAATTTCCTCACTTAGCCAGATCTGGGATTTCCATACATCAGGCTATATCTGGCATTATGAGGCTATATCTGGCAGATATAACATATCAGGTTATATGTGGCCAATTTTTGATATGGCCATATCTGTAATCTTAAGATCTGGCCAGATATAAATTTTTTGTAAGGGATAGCTTGCGCACAGCATTACGCTACATAGATGCCCTAGATATTTATGAAATTTACGGATTTACTGGTTTTTGATGATGCCCAGCAATCTTTTGCTTAGAAATATATGTCTACTGTTACTTATTAAAGTGTTAATTAAGAACTGTATGATAATTATCCGCTTATTTGCACAAACAAGCTCGTTCCTAGTGTCCGCCATGTCAAGCAGGCTAATTGCAAAATTAAAAGTGTCCTAACGCAAGTTTCCTCCCGTTAAAATTCTGGACCGCCTAAGAACAGGTTGTGCATATTTGTACAGAGCGCGACACTGTTAGCGCGAACAAGCGATCGCCGGTTTTTTCAGTTTTTCTCCTTTAAACCAAGGGATGTCATCCAAGGTATTAGTGCTATGGAAAGAGCCCATTTAGCTCTATAATGTAACCGATAAAATTTCGTGCTCGCTAATATTATTTAGAAGTAAAATGCGAAAATGCGCCGATGTGGTGTTCGCGCTAACAGTGTCGCGATGTGTACCACCACACCCCGAAAGATTCGTTTCCTTCTTCGTGGCGCATGACTTCATCAGGGTTTGGTTCATTCAAATGATCAGGTGCCTCGTCCGGCAGTGTGGTTTCCACATCCCCTATAACGTGCCTGTGGTTCCGATAAACATGTTTCTTGTAGGAATCAACACTTGCGTACATTCTTGGGCACCCATCGATGTTGCAAAGCACCTTAAGTCCCCCTCGCAGCTGTGGACATCCCGCAAAAGGAGGAAGAGCTGTAAGAAATCTCGCTGCGAAGAACTCTCATCTTGGGCAATGGAAGTGCACACGCTGTTCCTCCATCTTCTGGCGCTGTGTACTGTTACGGTCTCTGCGTCATAAAGAGGCCACACCTTGACTCACCGCGCTCACTACCTTGAGACGCGCATTGCTACAGCGTGAGTTGCGCCCGACGCGGCCGACGGTCTTCACGTCACCGCAGCAAAGACAGTTTTTCCCGAATCCCTTTCCTTCATCATCACGCTCACCTCGATGCGTTAACAGCCTCCACCTTACCTATTTCGTGTAGGCAGTGCAGGTTTTCTTTTCTAATTATGCACGTCACCGGGTGACATATGTACAAGGCATCGAAGGGGACGGCATCGACCTTTTAAAAACAGTATACACCTAATATTCAAACGTAAAAAAAAAAGAAAAAAACATGCAGAGGAAAAGAGGTAACAGGCTGTGAATGGGGAAAAACGTTAAAAGCGCTAAAGCTCAATCCAAGGAACAGACCGGCGTGGATGCTACGAGACGTCCCAGCCAATCAAGCGTCGAGTGAGCATCACGTGACCCCAAGCTGCACGTGTCGCCGCGCCCAACGGGCGGGTCACGTGATACTCTTTTTTTACTGCTATTGGGGCTCATAGTCGTAGCGAGGGCCTCCCCGCAGTCTTTGTTTCCTTTGTTCTTTTTTCGGTCGGCTTTACGGCACCCTTACAGCCGGCCGGCACACACTCGTTCTTTTCGTTTTGCTGAAATAGTCCGAAACATCTGTGTACAATGCGGGAAGCGTCACAAGAATGTCCCCCTCCGCCTTCCTTCGTCCATTTAGGGAAGAGCGAGGGGCGGGGGTTCCTTTTGTCACTCGCCGGCGCCCGAAGCGCTCGAGAGCATGTTTTTGGAATCTGTCGGAAGTCGCCTTTTACTGCCACGCTCCCCTTCCTTCAGGCTGGTGTTGCTGAACGTGCAAACAATTTGAACTGTAATTGCCTGATTGCAAACTGTGCTCCGTCTACGAGGCTCAAACTGCTTCAATTCGTAACGTACAACCGGCCAAAGAGCGTATTCAGGGTGGTCTGAGGCACCCATCTTGATGCATACATCTGTCCCACAGTTTGTCCATTGCCTATGGACGCACGTGTGCACGTACGTTCTAAAAACTAAGGTCACGCAGTAACCTCCCCCCCCCCCTCCCCCCTCCCCTTAAAAAAAGAGCCATGCAAAAGCAAAACACGAGCCAAGCTAGATCTGCTGAAAAAGTCCCTTTTTGTCCTTGCCTCTGTTAGTTCTCCCAAGAGGTCTGGCCCTGCGAGAAGCAGGGGTATACATTTATATTTTTTTTTATTAGTATATATTTTTTTTCTACGGGGTGCGAACGGAAATGGGGACAGGCGCTCCAGCGTTCTAGCTACATCCTCTGAGAGCCACGCATACGGCTTCGTTTACCATCTTGGAAGCTTCTTTTCTCCCCTCTGAGGGGATCGAGAGAGCGGTTGTCTGTGTAAGGAGGAAGACTAATTGGAAGGGCCAAACCGTAGGAACGAACCACGACCAGTACCTACCAAAGAAGAAGCATTGCTTGCAGGGACAGCGTCTCGCTTCTCCGACACGTTGCTCTGGCGGCAGTCTTAAACTCCTGGTCTGGTGGCTTCACATTTTGCTCTTGTAAACGGAAAAACGTTAGCTGACGAGACAATCACGTGCCTGACTTTCTGTGGCTTGTCTGCTAAAAAGGTTCTAGTTCCCGGAATCTTGAAGCTCGCTGATTTAAAGATAGTCTTGAAAGCACACCCGGATTTCAATGACATCAGAGACGACACCATTCTGCAGGTAAGTCGCCGACGGGCTTGAGCGCATTATGCTTGAAGATATTACACCGTTTGTTTCTCACCTTAATTGCGTTTGTTTGTTTTCGCGCCTGGTTCCAACTTTCTAGCGCGGTCAGCCTAATCCTCACTTCTACTGCCACTTTCGTGCTTAAATGTGGCTGATCGTAGACAAAGAACAGCTTTGACAAACTTCAGTCAACACGGATTAATACAGCGCACCCTGCATATTTTGCGAGATATCAATATGTAAAATATAATGCAGAAACGCGTCGAAGTGAAGGCCAATCTTTTCAGGTTAGATTTTAGGGACAGCTCCAAAGCGAATACGAAAAAATAAAGAAATAGACTAGCGTGGATAATATTTGTGACAAAATAAGCCCTATTCAGTTCACTTATGCACATAGTATAAGAGACATCCTGAAATTCCATGGCACATTAAGGCGACGCCCACACTGTAGTTTACAATAGGACACATTAGTTGCGTCTTTTAGGTATCCCCACAGGTGCTTCAATATTTCTAGTTTACTGTCAAAGTTGTAAATAATGGAATTCATTTTCAAACATGCAGCCTTTCTTTGACCTTTCGACAAACGCGATGTACCGTTGCGCACAGACTCCGGGTACATTACAAGCTTTTATTTTACAATATTCAATTCCCTTCTCATTTCAGATTAAGGACAAAGACTTCGACGAGTATGTGGACATTGAGGACAACAGGATTCTGGATGATAAATCCAAGATCATTTATCCTCAATGTATGGTGACTCAAGCGGGGAATTTCAATGACAAGTAAGTTTGTTGTTGTTTCATGTAGAAAATTTGGTTTCTTGGCTAGTTCACTCAAGATACTAATTTATGTGCTGCAGCTGCCTGGTATAAGTGTTGACGGAATTTAGCACTGCTGATATACATTGAGAGCACCTAAGTGTACTTAAAACTTATATTAATGTTTTTTAATCAAATATTACAGTTATAGGTAGGAATTTCATTTTTCCTTTAATATTGCGCGTAATTAAGTGTTTTATTTTAGTTTATATTCTGTAATCCCTCAGCATTTCCTCCATATAAGTGTAAAACTAAGCAGCACTACCTTTAGAAAGATCGAGGTGTTTTTATTCTTTTTAATGCACATCCCGAGATTTAAAACGGAAATTTGATCAAAAAATGGTTTTGACTGGTTGTCTCAACTTGATACGAAAGCAATTCTGAAGTTACTAGACCCTCAACTCTTATCGCCAAAACATTTCGCGTCGGAGATCTTTGCTGTGAGAACAGCAATTTAACCCGATTATAATAATATAACTGGTGCAAAGTTTAGATATAAATATTTTCCTTCCCATGCCGCATTTTAGCCACAAAAATTTGTTTAAATTTATGTTCAGAAATGTTTGCCTAGGCGACGAGCTGTTTATAACGTTTGCCTGTAAATTACAGCAAAACCGACTGCAAAGAAATTTAGTGCTCCGGTTTTCCCGGGCTGCTAATCCTGAAGAGTAAAATATGTAAACCATTCAATAGAAGCATGGTTGAGTCTAATATATTTTCATTTTTGATCTCTCATCTGCTCTAAAATTTACCAATTTGGCGGCAACAAATGAGAATGGGACACTGCATCACGCGTTGCCCTCAGTTTATTTGGAAACTCAACATGTTTAAACAAAAAGGAAAATCTCTGTTTTATTCTAGGACCTGCACTGCTGTCGTGGAGCCAGTAGCACCGTCGTCAGGTGTCCTGACGGCGGTGACCACAGCAATTACACCGATAATTTCCCCAGTGGCAACGCAGGGCTCTGCTCTGCTCCAGTAGGGACCCGAAGGCGTACAGGCTACCGGAGGTGCCTGTTGACATTCGAGCTAGGCTGGTTACCCTGACCAAGGGCAACATTCTTGATCCACTTCGGCATCGTATCATCGAGTGGCTGTACTACGACCTGTGCACATATACAATGTAAGTGGCAATATGTTACAATTTTCTTATTCGATGCTATATTTAAAACTTGCAAAAAAAAAAAAATCTCTCCCAAGGTAACCCGCAGTTCATCGTCGCATTCTATTGTTCAACATCAAAGCAAAGCAAAGCTATCTTGTACAGAGTGTTTATACATAGTGAAGTCTGTCTAGGTCATGGTTCACGCAGTAGACGAGAAATTGAGTCAGTGCAGCACAACTGCTAGCCTAGGCTTCTTAGAAGTAACACGGTGTAGAGATCACTAATTATACAAACGTGTGACGGTACATTGCTCATCCAGATAAAAAAGGCCAGGGGGCTGGGGCTGAACCCAGTATTCCGAGCCGCGAGCTTACGCTCCACGTGCCCTGAGCCGCGACGCGCTACCATCCGCCTGTTTGTCGCAAATCAATTTACACCGGGACAGCTAATAAAAATAATGTAAGCGGTGCAAGCGCGAGGTGCCAGTTATAAAAGGTGATTTGAAGCATGTGTTCGCGCAGTTTCTGTGTATGTCTTTTCTCACTACCAAATGCCATTGATTCAAAGGGTTAAAACACCTTCGCCAGAATTTCAAGAAAATACAAAACGCTCGCGAAAACTGTCCAAAATATATTCGAGAGAAAATTGTACAGCCTTTCTATCAATTATTTTGCAAGGTACCCCGGAATCTTGCACAATATGCCGGAGTATCGTTAACGTCAGCTCCATAAAAAAAAAAAAGTAATCAAGTTTTGGTCGAAGTCAAAGCTTAGGCACGAGCCCAATGCTCTGTGCGTTCCCAACTCGCAGCGTGGCTCCCGCAGTGTGGGAACCGTCGACTTCGGTCGCACGGAAGCTGAAATGAAGTATAGAGGCACACTCAGCTGCTAGCGCGCTGGATGAACCTCTTGCGGAAGGTTTATCACTTCGACCGATGTCCGCTGCAGGATAAAGAAGCCTTGAATTGAAAGTGAACTTACGGCTAAAAGTCTATTTGTATTTTCATGTGTTGTTTTCTTACAATTTTGAAAATTGCTTGTGCTTCGTACCTTAATTTATTTAGATTTTTATGTACTCTTACAATTTCAAGAGTTAGCGGGAATTTTTATCTCCCCAATGTTCCTGAGAACTCTAATCCAAAGTCGTCTATTAATTCCATTAAAAGAGAGGTCACACATAGTTCCTTTCATGTATACATTTCGACGTGTGAAACATTCATTTTACGCTAATTTTTTCATACGGATGTACTAAGGGCTGCAGTAAGAGGCAAGTTTCCCAACTGGCGACTGAATCTTAAGTCACACATACAAACCACCGTCTTATTACGTCTCATGGCATTTCTGGCATCACCTTAGATCGTGACCTAAACGCTACGTTTAGTAATATGGCTCCATTATATTAAAAACAATGTTTAGCGCTCTCTCAACTAGATATTTTTATCTTTCAGGATCCCACAAAGACGTCAGTCTCAGTCTACCCGGCCGTGACTTACAGCGGGCATCATCCCACAGCTTCTGACGCTGCATGAATGACGTTTGAGAGCCTCACGCTTCCAGCTCTGGATATCCCGGAGGCTATCGAGCTGGCCTTTTGCGCGTATTGGGCGTTTAATGTGGAGTATGGCCCGCACGTGAAAAACACGTTTCTGCTTTTAGAAAACCTGTGTAACATGAAGCAATCTCTGCCATCCGTGGCTGTGATGAAGGCGGCAACAGCTATTCGTTGTTAGCCGCATGCTGTTGGAGTGAAATTGTAAAAATGTTTTGTCTATGAAATAAAACTGTGATATTGCACCTCATGTAATTCCATGAAAAGCTCCCCCACCACTATCCACCATATTCCCGCGTGGTGTATTTGGAGGGGCACGTGGTTTTAAATGAAATCACGTCATTCCACTACGGTTCTTTATGGCATGAAAATTATTCCATTGAAAACAGAATCCAGAGAGTCCATTGCAGGAGTCAGGTGAGTCTAGGAAAAAAGGATTCAAGTAATTCCCTTCGGGGGAATCGTGGGAAACCAGGAACGGAATCTAGCAATTCCCGATAGAGAGTCACGTGATTCCAGAAGAAAAAGAATCCAGTGATTCCCGTAGGGGGTAGCCTGATTCCTTTGGATATTGGAGTCTCGTGATTCTAGTGAAAGGGTCGCCTGACTCCTGCAATACTGGAGTGCCCTGATTCCACTGAGAGAATCCACTGACTCCTTGTGAGAGGGAATCAGTTGACTCCAGAGAGGGAAGGCGTCACGTGACACCACCAGCTGAGAGAGTCAGCAGACTCTAGTGGAGAGGGCGTCTGATGACTCCACCGGGCGCTAGAGTCTTTTGAGTCTTTGAAAGGGGCCACCACAGGGACAGATTTTGACTCCCCCAAAGGGAGTCAGCGTTGATTCCCTTTTTTTTTAGAGTGATAGGTTTGGTTCATCAGAGTGGAAAAATGCTTCTGAATATGTACAAGCATTGAAGCCATTTAACGTCCAGTGATTACTTCAACAAAAAGGGACTAGGCCGCGGGTCTATTTAAGGATGACCTGATAAAATTTTAGCTGTGCTTGGAGTGTTGTGTCGTCTGTTCTCATTTTCCCCCTGCTCCTGAATTAGTATGTCTGTCTTAAACCAGCTCACCTGTACCTTCGCTTTAGTTTCAGAAAACGAAAGGTGTTCCCTACAACAACACCCTACTTCAGAATTATAAAGGGTGTATTGATCTAAATAAGGGTGCTAAAGGGTGTAGTCCTTAGGGAAAATCTTAAGAACGTCGTTTTCCCATCTTTAAGTGTCTAAATATTTTCACTGTGTAAGGACGCCTACATAGTTAAATACCAAGGCGTATTTCACGTCGACCAGAGGCTTCTCACGGTTCCTCGTCCTATGCATGCACTGTTTATGCCACTGTTATTGCCAGTGCTGAGAAGTGTCCGTCTTTGTCCTCCCAAGTTAATGTGATTTTTAGTATGCTCCACTGTCTAGGTTCTGGGGCATCAGAATTTCCCGCAGAACTGATATGATTCATCGAAGCAAGGTGCGCTCGGATTAGGGACAACAAGGAAGCATGCCTTGCTATGATCTTGGACCCACGCTTCAAGACAACTATTTTTAACGTTGAAAAGGAGAAATTTTTATGGCTAAAAGCTATGGTGCTGCAAGAGCTAGCCTCATGTGATGCTATACTGAAGAAACCCAGCCGGAAGCTGCAACACAGTCAAAAAAGCAAGGCTCAACGCCGTCAGCAATGTTTGGCAAGCATTTGACCACTTAGCCAAAGGTGCAATGGAAAGCAAAGTGATTTAGCTTCAGAATGGGGAAGTTGAAGCGTAGGAGGCACTGCTAAAGAGAGAGAGTGATCCGTGTGAGTGGTGGCAAATTGTCGGGTGCTTAAAGGGACACTGACACCCCCCCCCCCCCCCAAAAAAAAAATTTATTTTTTGCCAGGCGCTTCATTATGGTGTCGGAGGACTACCCAATTAATATTTTGCAACAGAGTAGCGTATTTTTTTAATAAAGCCAAAAGACGCAACTCCTCGAAACCGAAACCGAAACCCGACGGAGGTCGGAGAAGTGGAGAGAAGAGAGTGAGTGGCGGAAGTCACGTGGCTACACCCAACCGTGCGTTTTTTTGTTTTTTTTTTCTCTCCGGTAGCAGACGACAGGACATGCGGCGTGCGATGGGGCGTGCGGGAACTGCTCGCCGTGCGATTTTTTTGCAGTTATGTTTGTTCCGCTCGTTGTTCTGTACTCCAAGATGAGTTGTTTTGTACATTAAGGAGTTGGAGATGAGTAGTGAGTGCCCGTGGTGAATTTCCATGATCGGCTCCGAAAAGAATACACCCAAGATGTTGCGTGAAGAGCTGGCTCACATTTCCTGAATCCGAAAATAGTGGCATTGTGCGACAGAGTTTCCGAAAGATCAACGGGATCGGGACGAACGGCTGGCTGCAATTCCTGTAGAACATATACGGGCACCTCGGAAAGCGGACGTTACCTGATTTACATGCTCCTTGCATTTTGTGGAAAGTGATTACATTGAGCTCGCAGGTGTCAAAACGGAAATCCCATAACATTTAAATCAGCGAAGTATCGTCCACAACATTAGTTTCATATTTTTTTGTTTGTTTCTTTAGTGATGATTGTAAAAAAAAAATATATATGTAAACATCGGAAAATGTTTGAAGAAAAAAAAATTAAGTTCCACGGGGGATCGAACCCGGTCCTACCGCGTGTGAACCGGACGGCTTTCCCACTGAGCTACTGGCGCATCGCTTTTCTGGTGGATCTCTTTCCTTAGTAATAACTCAGCCGGTGAACTGTAAGTTGGAAAGTTTGCTGTCGATTTTTCTCTAGCAAAAGCACTCCCGGGTCGAAGTTGGGAAGCACCACGTTTGGGGACATTCGCACCTAGTAAAGAAATCGTACGCGTGCATATTGAACTGGAAGTAGACACGTCGTGCTTGACGTTTGCGCGAGCGATGTCTTCAGCCACGAGAAGGGATCGACGGCTCGGCGACGTCTTCGTGCAAATCGGCTTGGTGGCCGGGCGTGTCGTACGGGATGAATACCAATTCTTTTGATCAGTCCCAAATTTCTCTTTTAACGGTAGACAGAATTCGCCGGTACCGCGAACGACAGTTCTGAAATAGAGGTCCCACGCCCGTCGTCCGCTGCCATCGCCGTCCCCGCGAGTCCCACGATACGCGAAACGACGAACGCACAGAATGCTTCCGGTTGTCTGTGGAACTTTTTTTTTCAATCAACGTATTTACAGCTTTTTAGAAGCCGCAAAAAATGGGTTTAATATTTTTTTCTATTTTTAATAATGAGTGTGTGCCTTCAGTGACCCACGACTTTGATTAAATTTGGTGGTCGCATCGATACCTTAGAAAACGGCCCATGACCGCGAAAAAGAGAGTGAGCGAGACTCCAACCGGCCAGTTCTTGATCGGTGGTTTTCGGGCGGAAAGAAACCGAATTTCGAGCCGCAAATTCTGTTCTGGGTAGTTGAGCTCTCATATGTCACGTAAAACTAAAAACCTCAGCGAGCATAAATACCCTGTCAGTGTCCCTTTAAGATATCTAAGTCTGGCGAAGCTTTGCATCAGGGACTCAAACCGAAAAAAAATTGACGTTTCGGTTACGGTTACGGTTACCGCTTCCTGTTGATAACGGTTTTGTTTCGGTTTTTTACGGTTTTAATTTTTACGGTTTCGGTTACCGGTTACACGTTCCTAAAAACCGGTTTATTTCGTTTTTTTTTCAATAATGTGTTTAATTGAGGTGCTAGACAACCGTTTTATTATAAACGGATTAAAGTAGTCCCAGATATCCAACAACGTGAAATTCAATGAAATTAGAAACGTCTTAATACTTCTAATTGGTCAAAAGTTTCACACGTTTCTTGCTCCAACGCTTGTTCACTACATCTGCTTATACTATATAGTTTGATACCCGAGCATACATGTTACTTCCGCTACTCGGGGATCATCGCAGTCTATATAATAAAAATGAAAATAAACATCCCTACTTTGCTGTTCGGCAGAGTTTGTAAACAACATTAAGAAAGTTCCCATTCGGTGCTCGAAGAATCATTTGCACCTTCTCGTCGCTGTAGTTTGTTGCAACCTAATACATGCACACGAGTCTTCGCCCACACTGAAGGAAGGAGTAAAATAGTAAAATACTACTAAGTGGAATAAAGGAATAAAATTGAAAGCTGGGCTAGTTGGTGAAAGTCAAACATAATGTAAATGCAATAGCCCAAAACAAGAACGACAAAGAAGATGAACGAACAACATAATAACAACACAGAAAGTTGTAAAAATATGTCATCTGTTGTTCGTTCCTTTCTCTAGTCTTCGTTGTTGTGCCATGTTACACCGACGTCATGTTTTCTATTTCCAAGCAATTGTGTATGGTTATCGACGCGCACGTCTCTCGCTGGCCGATTCTATGACGCTAGAAAAAGAGTGCATTTAGTACAAGAAAAAATAAAAAAGTGCGGACGTACCTTTATATATATATATAGTTATTTTCATTTCAAATCGGGCAGGCTAAAGGGTCAAATTTTTAATTTTCACGAAAAAAATATATGTTTCTGGGGCATTTCTCAAATGAAGGAGGGCGCAAACTGCATGTTCCCCAGATTTTTGATTCTCGAGTTACGAGCCGTAGAAGCCGCAGTGGCAGAAACTAGTTTTTTTGCCTGCCGTCGCTGGTCGCGTGTTTCACACCCTCTGCTGACGCTAGTGTTTTTTCTACACCCTTTTAACTTTTCCCCCCTCATTTAATGAATACTATAAAGATACCTTGGCGTATTCAAATATTTTTAGGAATTTGATTGTTTTCTAAAATACATGCATAACTCGTCACTCCGGTCGCTTTTTGGTCAAATTTGACAGATCATTACTTTTTCTGTACTTAAGGTAAATTTTCTTTCTTTGGCTCTACAAAAAGCCCGAAGCAAGCCCATTATAGATATTATAATATCATTATGATCTGTCGACTAGCCACTCCGCTACCTGCACGTAAACGCTGTAAGAAATAACAAATGTGGAAAATTTGAGGTCGATTTTCTAAAAAAAACCATTTTTGTAAGTTTTGATTTTTTAAAATTATTTTAGACATTTTAGTCGACTACAAGAACAAACAGTCTAGAAATGTAATATTTTGGTTGTATAACCTCTATTTGAGCCGCAATCACGTGAAATGT